TCCTTCCTTACTCCAACCCAGACATAATCCCTCAGGACTAGTTCAAGGGTCTTCGCCGAACCTGGATGACCGGCCAAGGCTGAGTCATGTCGCATCTTCATGATCTTCAGCCGAGCATCGGCGTAGTTCGGCACATAAATGCGATCGTCGAATGTGAGGAAACCTCTTGAGTTCCACCCCCCACGAAGGATTAGAGGAGACCGCGAACTACGGCGTAGTTCGGTGATTGATCCTGGTTCCTGCACGTTATCGTTACACGTAGGATGAGAACACTCAGCGCAAACGACTCCTAATAATTCTTCTCTGACCCCTTCTATGTCTTCGTCCTCCTGAACTCCAAGTACTAGATCCATAGGGTCCACAAGATCATTTTCCTTTACCTCCCTTGTCCCTTGCAATGCTCGAAGGAGGTGACGCAACTCCGACGTGGTGGCGTCAACTTCGTCGAACTTCGGCAGACCTTGGATAAGGTTGCTCTCTTGTACCATGGTACTTCCTTTCCCGGAATGATAGTCCGCCCGTCTAGATAATCCATCTGGAAGACTTGCCTGGGTTCCTGGCCGATAAACCATTTTAAACCTGAAGTTAGCTAGCTCCTCTACCCACCTACCTTGCCGAGGACTGAGTTGTTTCGGTTCCATCCAGTAGGTAAGGTTTAGATGGTCGGTAAGTACTGTGGTTTCTACCTGCAATAATAAGTGTCTCCTTCTTCTGAAACCCTCCACTACAGCGAGGAACTCCTTTTCTCCTACCGTATAATTCAGTTGAGCTGTGTTGAAAGCACCAGACTCAATAGCTACCGGGTGTTCTTGACCAGCCGTGTTGATCTGCGAAATTATGAACCCCCAGCCGAAGAACGACGCATCTGTCTGTAATATCGTCTTCAATGTAGGGTCAAAATGGGCTAACACCGGCGCAGTACACATCCTAGCCTTCAACTCTTTGAAGGCTGACTCCTGTTCGACTCCCCATACAAATGGTACCTCCTTCCTTGTCAAGTCATTGATAGGTCTAGCAATCTTCGAGAAGTTGGGGACAAAGCGCCTGTAGTAGCTTACAACTCCAATGAATCCCCTTGACTCTCGTAGATTCTTAGGACGTGGGAAGGAAGTGATGGCATCAATGTATTCTGGGTTCACCGATACACCTTTAGAGGATACCACGAAACCCAGAAACACCACCGAATCTCTTTCGAACTCGCACTTACTAGCTTTCACGTACAGGCTCGCCTTCCGCAGTACCTCAAAGACCTTCGCCGTAGTTCCTCGTAATTCCTCCAACGTATTCCCATAAATGAGGATATCGTCAATGTAGACCACGACTCCATTCCCTAGTAGCTCTCTAAACACCTCATTTAGGAAGTGTTGGAAGACCGCGGGGGCGTTTCGCAGCCCATCACGAACAACCAGAGATTCAAACATACCATACTGTGTCCTGAACGCCGTCAGGTGTTCATGTCCCTCTGTCACCCTCAACAATTGGTATGCTCCAATTAGATCTAGTTTGCTGAAATACCTTGCTTTTCCAAGTTCCTCAGTAATTTGACCTATTAGAGGGAGAGGGTAGGCATCTGGTATGGTCGCTTCGTTCAGTTTTCGATAGTCGATGACCATTCGCCATTGTCCTTCGGCTTTCTTCGGTATCATAAACATTGGTGAGCCGTATGGCGAGTTACTTGCCCGAATTCGGCCAGCGGCGATTTCGCGATCTAGTATGTCTCTCAGCGCGCGTCTCTGATCTTCTCCTTGAGCATAGAGGGAGGCGACCTTAAGGTTCGCCCCCTCCTTAAGCTCAAACTTCAAATCGTAGGACCTTGAAGGGGGAAGGGTCTCTCCTCCCTTCTTCGGATTAAAAACGTCAATGTACTGGTGGTATTGTTCAGGAACTACCTGGAACAACTCGTCTTGTTCCTCCGGGCTCAGCTCTTCAAGCTCATCTTCGCCGCGGAGGTCTATCGCGTCCGTCGGAGTCGGCAGCCCTATGGCCGCTAACTTCGCCGCACTTGGTGGGGTTGGGATGGGAAATTTCACCGAGTTGTCTCTTCCATCAAGGACAACCCCTTCCTTCCTCATCCAATCCCACCCTATCACAACATCTGCGTCGCAGAGCGTTGTTACATCGAGACAAACAGATCGCACTTCGGCGTCCTTCGTCAAACTAAATCCGACTTCGACAAACTCGGTGATGGGTCCAGCGACACTCACCGAGCCGTCGAACATGTGAACGGGTACGCTCACCTGATATCGCCTCTTTTCTACACCTATCTTCGCTGCCGCCCTAGGGCTTATATATGAACAAGTAGCTCCAGTGTCCCAGAGCGTAGTTAGCTTTATTCCATTAATGAAAATGTCCGATTTAGGTTGATCTCTGGAAACGGAAGGGATGAGGAGATGATTATCGACATTGCATGAACAAGGGGTACTGAGTGGTGTATTTTTGTATTCACAATCCTCTGGCTCCATCAGCTGTGTTTCTTTTATGGGTTTGGGAATGGTGGCCGAGAGAATATGGCGGACCCGCCGAGCCTCGCCTACTGCGACAGGTCCTCTTCTTTTCCCTGGTCCTCTTCCAAATCTACTTCTCCTCCAACCGCATTCAAGTTCCTCCTCTGTCCGAGAGGTACTGCGTTCCCTCCCGATCCTCCACCACGTTCTCCGAACTTCCCCCCCCATGGAGGCAACAGTCCAACCTTAACCTTAGCCTCCCTTACAGGGCATTCCTTCAGCCAATGTCCTGCTTCACCACACTCGGTACACTTCCCCTCCTTCCTCCTTGTCTCCCTCAGATCGGAGCTTGGCCTAGGCCATCTTCGGCGAACTTCGTCGATGTTTGGCGGTGTACTCTTTACCACCGTCGACATCATAGCCGCCTGGACACCACCCTGCGCCGAAGGTTGCCCCTTTTCCCATTTCTTCTCTTCTTTCTTCTCCGTCCTCTGACTTTCCACCACTGTCGTTGTCCTTATCCCTCCTTCCCTTTTCCTCTCTGCCTCCTTCTCCACTTGTCTCCTCCACAGGCGGTTGTCCAAGGGAATCACAAACTCCAATAGCTCTTTCACAGTCCCAAACGATCTACCGTGTCTTGCAATTTCATCTAGGAGGTGCGATTTTAGTCCTTTCTTGGCTCGGTCAACTAGGTTTCCATCATCAGACCACTTAAGAATCGCAACATGTCGCTGGAAGGCGGAGAAGTAGTCCGAAGCAGACCCGGTTTGCTTGAGGTCGTTAAGTTGTCGGGCCGCAGTTCCTTCTTCGTCTGGATCACCAAAGTTAGTCTTGAGGTACTTAATGAACTGATCGTGTGTCGTGAGGTACTCAGGAAGAGGTCTTTTGGATAGATCGGGCTGCACTGCAAGAAGAGGTGTTTCGCGTAGATGAGAGATCATGAAAAAGACTTTCTTAGTGTCGTCGGGGAAAAGATGAGAGTTCAATTCGAAATGTACGTCGCACTCAGACAGAAAGGCGGTTAACTTGTTCCGATCTCCTCTCCAGAGGTCTGGGTTAGGTAGCTTTATCCCCTTCCGTTGTTCGCCCACTACGCTTGGGGTCGCCGAAGTTTGCCGTCCCATGGCGTACCTCACTCCTTCTGATATCCCTTCTGCAATCCCGCCCACTGTATCCCTTTCTCTTCTCTGTTCCCATTCCTCCCTACGCCTTCTCTCCTCCATCATGTCTTTGTTCATATTCGCCACCATCTGCATCAAGGCCAACACCACCCCTTGTGTTCCTTCTTCTCCCAAGTTCGCCGTACTTCCAGTGTTTTCTCTTGGGCGCGGGGTTTGGTCTGATCCAAGTGGGGATCCCGCAGGTGGGAGAGCATTAGACGGAGGAGAAGGAGGGTTAGAAGGCACCGGTGGAACGAACTCATCTCCTTGAATTGATCCCCCCACACTATCCTCCACTCCAAGGTCCTGCCCCATTGCTCTGCTAAGCTCCTCCAATGCTCTCCTCTCGTTCTCCTCCATCCTGTCTCCATCCCTACTCATCCCTCGTGTAATTCTTCTTTCTGGTTCCATATTATCTTTGTACTTCTCCGAGGTTCGCACGGGTCGTCGGTAACAGCGATCCTTGATACTGTCACGGCCGTCAAACAACTATTTCTTAATAGACCGACGGTCGACGAACCTCGGCTAACTTCACGCTCTGAGTCGATGTCTCACCCAACCAGGAGGGCGCAGACGTCGAAAGGGGTGTAACTACGGCGTACTTCGGCGTAGTTACTCTAACTAGGGTTTTGTTCTACTGATGGCGATGTATCTTGATTTATAGCTATCTCTATCTGTCTTTCACTACTGACAACAATCAAGGATCGCTGAAGAACTTCAGCGATCTTCTCAGCTAATATTATCTACTCCTCCTAGACGTTCATCCAACCCTCTCGCGCTTTGACGTACTTCAACGCACTTCGTCCAACTTCCCCGAGCCCTCGGCCATCCTCTTCCTCCTTCGACTAACTCCGCCTAACATCGCCGCACTTCTGCTCCCATTGTCCCTACTTAGCCTAACTCCGCCTAACATCGCCGCACTTCTGCTCCCATTGTCCCTACTTAGCCTAACCCCGCCTAACATCGCCGCACTTCTGCTCCCATTGTCCCTACTTAGCCTAACCCCGTCTAACTTCGCCGTACTTCTGCTCCCATTGTCCCTACTTAGCCTAACTCCGTCTAACTTCGCCGTACTTGGTGTCAGAAGTCCTGAGTTACGTGTAGAGTAAAGAGGTTAAGGCGTGATGGGGTTTTGATGGCCAAAGGAGGGTCATTGTTGGTGGAGTAATCGAGGTGTCACGACGTAGTTCGTGACAATCAAAATCAAAATGACTTCTATCTCCCATCTTATTGGGACCCCACAATTGATGAAGATGAATTCTTTGAATATCAATCATCTCCTGATCTTCTTGCTCAAAGTACTCAAGATGATGGTAGCCCATGCTGGGCTACCACATAGTCCATTATCAGCTCTGATAGCCCAGTTGCGGTCAACTTCGTCGTAGTTGGGATAGAGATGATAGAAGAACAAGAGAAGATGGGTTTACTTTCTGATACAATCACAACAAACCAAGAATTTCTGACCAATACAAGTGATACATGGATCATGAGAAATACCCTTGAGAGGTTTTATAGCTGGAAGGGGTCTAATCCTGAAAATGAAATTACTAAAGCTAAACATTGGATGCTACACGGTTATCGGACAGAACGAGGTGGTCTTCAAGGATTTGACCTAGCTGAAAGTGAAACTGAGAGAAGGGCCAGTAGACGTGGGTTGAGTCAGATGATCCATCAGAGCCCTCCAAGTAAAACATGCATATGATATCTGTGTTCCACACATAAGCATATTGAGGCATGGTCCAAATTTTCAGGAAATGAGCAGGAATATTTGATATGATTCACAGTGTATTCAGGTCTGTGAGTATAGATAGTGTTTTCCTCATATCATTCCTCCTCTGATAAGTCTCACATGTGACATCTTGCAAGGAGCTAAGTTGTCTTGTAGGAGACGTCTGTAGGCAAAGATGGATCTACTACAGTACAATAGCGCACAAAAACTCTTTTTATTCCTGTTTCATGTCATACCCTGAGACTATCTTGGTACTGTCTCATCTGTCCTGCTGTTACTCTCAACAAGAGGAACCACTGCATCGCTTCTGTAAGCCGCAGGACACCTTATCTCCAGGCATACATGAAAGCAACTGCTTTGTCGTATCGCTGTGACGTGTTTCAATTTACTCCGCGCGCGGGGACTGAGCATGTCCCCGCTGTATAAAGGAAAATAAAGTGAGACATGTGTCAAAATTCATGACTCGAAGATAAGAAATCGATCTCAAGCTCAGATTAGAAGAGATGATATCATCTCATGCCGATTCTTTCACCTTTGAACCAATACCCCTGAAAACGCGGCGGTGAAAGTGATTAGAAGCCCCGGGCGGTGTTCTTGAGTCTGCAAAGGACTAGTATAAAACCCCCCCTCTTCCCATTACTTATCCAAATAAATCTTTGTCTTGTTCATTCTTTGCCCTTCCGTACTCTAACTCATCAATCTCATTCATAAGCTTGTCAACAGATTCACAACAAACATCATGTCATATCAAAATACGGACGGCGTGACCGGATCCTTGGTGACTTTCGAACCAACAGAATATCTAGATCCGTATACGGATGAAGTGGTGAGTTGCTACTTTTGCATATTTATCTTGGCCTGACTTCAGACTGGTGAGACTGTGAAGGTTTCTCCTCCCTATGAGTGGCATCGAATGTGGGGCCAGAAGAGTTCAATGGAGGACCAAAGAGAGGATACTATAATGGTTGCAACCGGAACTCAAGGATATACTCATTCTGAGTTAGTCACGAATGTAAAAGAGGATCTAACAGGTGATGGTAGGGAAACTAATCAAGGATCAAGAGCATATGAGGAGAGTGAAGGTGTTGCAAGAGCAAAGACTCAAGAAGAAGAGTATGCGGCTTTGGCAAGTGGAGAAACCCAATTAGACTCCCGGAGGAGGAAGAAGTCAGAACGCTATGCCGGAGGGAGGACGCCTTTTTCCTCATCTGGAACAGTGACGAAACATACTTCGGCGACACAAAATCCCAAGTCCTCAAGGAGGAGGAAAGCGTGAAAGTCCCATTTCGGGGACACTTTTGGCAAAGCGGATGACTCTTCTGTGCACCCAATTTTTGTATCTTGTCAAATTCAGGTCTATTGAGTAGGAGTACAGTACGATAGGGTCAGTGAAAAGATAAGTAGAATTAATGCATTATCTTTTCCTTTCTGAAATGCCTTCTTTTGATTGACAGATAACACATGTGTCAGACATCTAAACTTCTACTTTTCAATCATTTCCTTTCAAAACAGGTCGAAACAGATGGCATCATTCAACGTGTTTTCTGAACCTTTGATCGTGTCCCCCTTAAAACGCTCGGTAAGATAAATGAAAGGCCTCAGAGCGGACTATTATAAGAATTAAGTGAGTATAAAGACCTAATGACACTTGAATTAATCTCAATTCACAATCATCACATACCCATCTAACCCAAACTTACACCTGCACACAATTTTCTCACTGAGTATAATCAAAAAATCATGTCCAATACCAACACCAATCAATCTACCTTTAACCCCCATATGAGGTCTGTTCCATCTCCATATGGACAAGACGATGGATACTATGATGATGCTCTGAGTTTTCAAGAGAAGTGTTTGTCCCCGTTCTGATGCACCAGACTGGAGAATTGGTAGACGGTTGGTTGGGATATGAATGGACGCCTGAGGTCGAGCAGGCTTATATGTCACAGAACACCATCATTGTTGGTGGACCGGAATATGATTATGATGAGTCAGAGCTCTACAATGATGAGGAATCTTGGAATGAAGGAGAGGAAATTCAACAGGAATTGAGATACAATGACACTTACACAATCACTCAAGGAAGGGAAATGACACAGGAAGAAGAATATGCCACTTTAGCAGGAGGGGAGATACCTAAAACTGACAGGGAAGGAAGGAGGTTGGCTAGAATTGCTCATGATCTCGAAAACTCTAATCGGAGACTGGTAACAACACGCAAGAGAAAGTCAAAGTCCACTGCTGCACAAGGAAGTCAGACAGCAAGGACCACAGTCTCTACCTCTGATGCGCAAGGGGGACCGTCCACCCTGACCGGCATGGAACATGTAGATGAATCCAGCTCTACACAAGTTGCTCCCACTACCAAGCCCGTTGTTACTAGGGCGTCAGACAGTCACAAGTTCTGGGACACCCTCAACCGCGAACAGTGAAAGGTCTAGTCACAATGTCACTCACTACCCATGGTGCTGGTTGGTTGGAAGTAAGTAATGAGGAACAGACTGAGTTGAGAGGAGCGCACCGGGAGTTAGTTTGAAGGAGATGATCGTTATGGTTTGATAGTAAGGAAGATGCATGATTCATTGATTCTAATGATTCTACAGATGTCACAGTCAAATTGTCCATGAAAATGGAGAGAAACAAAATACCCACAAATCCTAAAATAGCCCATTGAAAAAACCTGAATGATTAAATGTCTAGAGAATGACAATGATCAGATTCCGAAAATTACAAGAGATAGTGTGTCACACCATCATCGGCGCAGACGTGGGGATAGATGGTATATCACGCTTGGCGGCTCCGCCCGTGCATAGAGCGGTAGGAAGGAGGGAAGCATCTGTGGCCGAGTATTCCCTGGATGTCAGCAACGAAGTCTCCAGATACATACTGAATACTCTCAAGTAACCATAGAAGGATCATGCGGCTCGTCGGGAGAGTGAGTATACAAAAGTGCTTGATGTGGAGTGAGTGGGAGATATAGATTAAAGGGAGGTGTGACCTGAATTGCAGGTAAGAAGGGACAACGCACGGTGGATAATTACAACCATTCACCAAAACCCAAGCTCCTGTAGTATCTGCCGTATCACTCCATCCACTACCTATAGTAGCGTTTGCCGCATGTGCAGGGGTAGGCAAAATTATAGGCGTACCCGTTTGCGTACGAGTAGGGAAAAGTGCGATTTGGGCGGAAGTGAAAGAAGGTCCTATTGATGTTGGAGGCCATACTGAATGGTTGGATACTTGAGAAGGATCAATAGTAGGGGATGCGACACCACCTGTAGCTGAAGCAGGGAACGTGCCTTCGAACTTGATTGTCAGCGCTGCTACGAGGATTTTCATACTCAGGTAATCAACCTCTAAAAAAGCACTTCTTCAAATAACGATCACAAATTGATCAATGAATGCAGAAGGTGAAGAAATCCGGTTTAAAGTGTTACTTCTGGTGATGACAGGTATGAAGTGATGAAAAAGATAAGAAAGAAGTGAGAAGCACGAAAGATAACTCACTTGACTACCTCCAATCCCAATACTTTTACAATACCCTCCTGCAACTCTTGGATCACCAGGTATCCAACCATTTTGCCATCCAAGTTTATAATGCCAAAACGGACTTGAAGCATAACCTAATTCCGTAGAATTACCAATTTTCCAAGTCCAAAAGAACCAATTTTGTAAAGCGTCCATATTTGCTTTGGCGTAACCTAACAAATCACTTTTGGTTTGATCTGAATAATTGAACCATTCGTCCCATTGCGTACAATTGGAAAGTGATTGATACGAAGGAGTACCACCAACTCCAACGAGCCATTTACCACAATCGTTTATGGCTAAAGACCATTCACCACCCATAACTAAACCGAAAGAAGTTTGTGTATCGTTTGTACCGCCTCCCCAAGAACAAGCTGTTGATTGTTGCCAAGACCAAGGATTTGTGTTTGCGCCGCCGAAAGCGAGGTACGGATGTTGGTCTAGAGATCTGTTTGCTTTAGCTTCATCCTTGAGGAGCAGCAGCAGAGTCAACAGGAGAAGTGTTTGAGATAGCGATCTTTCGATTTCGGGTCAGTGGCAGGAGAGAGCAAAGCGCACGGTGAATAAGTGAATTGGTAGGGAAAGATGGGTGGTGAAGTGAAACTGTATCAAAAACTTTATTGACTCACAATCGATCTGCCCCATTGAGGAAACCCTCCCATTTTGCGATCCCCACAAACCCTTCATGTATAGCAATAATCGGTCCGTTCCCAGTTCCGAAACCTGTGATACCCCTGATCAATTGATAAGCTTGGTAATAGAAAGCCTGCATGACTTCCATTCCGACGATACTAGCTTCGACTTCATTGACGAGTGAAATCCTGATCGTCAGCGTTAAGTTGTACACACTTTAACATGTCATCATGGTTGTGAATAATTTGGATCCGGATGATCATCGAACTCCCGGAGTGGATAGTGTTCCCAACTATCTCAATCCACATTGAGATTCAAGAAGACAGTAGTCGCAGTGCAGTATACATGGTGTGGAACGTTAACGCAGGTGGGGAGGGATTGTATGGGATGAGGGGGAGCAGAAGAGGAGGAAGACGGAGTCACGTACATCGGTACGACCTGTTTTATCCCATCTTGACTGATATATTCTGTCAAACTACGTATATACTCCAAATGACGTTGAGCATTGGCAATGCCCATCACACCATACATCCAATTGATAGAACCAGCTTTACCAGAATGGTTCCAACCGTTTTGTGACCCAGGGAGGGCGTGAAAATCAAGTAAGATTCGGAGACCGTACTTGCGTGCCCAGGCGATAGCTTTGACGAAGTATCTGGGTGTCAGCATGGATGTCGAGGAGGCAGCGACAAATATTATAGGTATTGCCCTGCAATGTGAGAAAGAGATAAGAGTAGACACTATTTGGGGGAAGTAAGACATTTTGAGTCGAGTAAGTGGATACGGGGAAGAGTGTACTTGTTTTCTTCTTTTGGTCTCTTTCCATTTGAGAAGAGAGAATCCCACTTAAAGGGGAATTGGGGAAAAAGTTTACAACTCACGTCCATGAAACCTGAGCTAGGAAAGGTTCATCACCCTCCGTAGCTATTGCCCAATAACCTAATGGTATCCTAACCCAATTCAAACCAGCCTGAGCGATCTCGGCGAAATCTTGTTCAGTCTACAAGTCAGTCAAAAAGGATATTTCCGATGTCTGACAAGTGGGAGTGATGAGACATACGATGAAAGTTTTATAATGATCTTCCATGACTGTAGCTAGATTATCACCTAATCTATTCGTCAGTCACTCGTACGTTTGATATTGTTGAAATCGCAAAGGTAAATCAAGGATGTAATTCGATCATCACTAATGATGACTGGGTAAATTTCGTACTGATGCCACTAAGACGATAGTATCGAACCTCGATAGGAAAGTAGATGTGGTAGAAGATTCATATCGAGTCCATATAGGTTTATGACAGATGGATATATGTGGATGTGGAATGGGGGATAAAGGCGAGTGAAGTCATGATTGTAAATGGCATAGAAAATAAGGGATAGGAGGTATAACAAAAAGAGGGAAAGAAGAAGAGAGAAAATGAAAAAGAGAAAAGAGAAGAAAAAGAAGAAAAGAACTAACGCTTGTGATAAAGTATATTCATCAACAGCTTGAGGATTACTATTTTGATATTGTTCATATAAAGCAGGAACTATAAAAGCTATTTAGTCAGTACATACTCAACAAAAACGAGATAAGATTACTCACGTTCAGTTACTAACCATCCACCCAGATTAACACCTCTAACTATGTTCTGTCCCCATTTCCAATCTTCTAATAAACTTGGACTCCAATCTTGAGCACGACCGGAAACCTAGGATGATCAGCTTACTCTCCTGACATCACGATTCTTTGTAGGTTCATTGACCCAAACGTCAATCCACATTTACTTCCCTCTACTTTTCGGCTCTACCGTGTAGCTCTTCCCTCGGTGACAAGACGGCTTGATGATATCGACGTCTGTTTCTTTGTTGCGATCGTGAAGACAGTTATTTCCGTCACTTTGATCTACTGAGCTAGGCACGTTCATAAATATCACCGTCGAAGCTACTCTTTCTCTTTTGGAGACACCTTCAACACCACCAGCAACAATGTTTTGTCCAGCAGATCCCTTCCATCAAACTAGACTGTTACATGTTACATCGAACAGATTCCCCTTGTCGTATCTCACATGAATAGAGGTAAATCGGGAATGAACGATAGTATTGAAAAAAAAAAAGTCCACAATTGATTCACTTTGAAACATGAAGATCTTTTGATTCACGACCCTGAAAAAGAGAAAGAATTCAACTCACGGTATATGGTTTTTCCGGATCCACAGCCCAATTACCTCCCATCCAATTAATATAAACAAATTCAGTTCCATCTTCCATCTTAACAACACTTCCATTCCCTCCACTTCCAGCGGTCAAACTAATAGTATCATTCCCTCCTTTAGTCGTACCACCTACCACATTTCCTCCATCCCCATCTCCACCAGTAGAAACACCATTTCCATTTGCCCCATTTCCATTCGATCCGTTCTTATGTTGTGTAACACCAACAGCTACACCAACAGCAATAGCAGCGATTAAAACCACTGCGATTGGTATTCCCCAAAAGAACCATCTTCTTCCTGATTTAGTACGTGGTATACAAGTTCGATCATGATAATCTTTCGTTATTGTCGTGGTTCTTATCGTATGACCTGGTGGTGGTGTGAGAAAACGTGAAGAAGAATCATTCGGATTATGATCTTGTAAGAAACGAGATGATTCTGGTGTATACATTTGACGATGAGAAGGAAGAGGAGGAAGAGGTTGAGATAAAGCTGCTCGTGAAGTAGGTCTAGATGGATAATCTTTTTCGTAATTATCCATTGAAATACTAGGTGAAGTAGGTAGGGACGATAGATGATCTAAATAAATAGCTGTGGGTGATGGAGATAATTCAGACTGTATTATGAGCACAGAAAGTCGGAATCGTTCGTCTTTCAACAGCTACAAGGAGAGAAGTAGTCGAAAGGGTAGTCAAATTTTTAGTAACTTTCAAATCCTTCTCACTTGTTGAGTCTCGGCTGTGATGAGAGGGAACGATAAGTGTTTGGAAGGAAGATAGAGAAGTAGAGAAGTAAGGAAAGTAAAGAAAGTAAGGTGAACCTCGAGGATGATTGAACCGAGTCCGAGCGAACGACGTTGATCAAGTTGAATGACACGAAGTACTCGTAGTGCGATCATCGGGAAGGATGGAACACACAGCATTATTGTGAAAGATGACCATATCCTTTCACCCGGTTACTCCGCTACTCCGCTTCTTCATCCTTTCATTGTTCACTCTGCGAGGTATGTGGGGTAGAAGAGAGGGTGACAAGTACGACTAGTGAACTTCGCCTGTCGAGTAAGATGATGGTAATTCTAGCGAGGTAGATGGTGAGAAAAGAGAAGAAGATGATCGAAAATCGAAAGTAACGTGGAAAGGCAAAAAAGAAGACATTCGTCACATACCTCATCATACCCTTCTCTCCCATTCCCATTCCTTCCACCTCTCCCATTCCCATAACTCCCATTCCTTCCTCTCGTCCCACTCGTTCCAACGTGACCTACAGAACCAAGATGTACAGGACCTGAAATATGTATACCAGGTGGTATTTTCTTACCCATTTCTTTACTTTGCCTGATATGATTCAAGGAAAGGAAAGGAAGCGAGATACTAGCTACTAGTCGTATCAATCTCACAAAGAAAACGTTGTAGCTGACGAAGACACGAAAAAAGTAAGCAGAGTAGCAGCACGACTTTGTACAATCCTAGTCGTACTTGTCAACAATTCACGAGGCTTCCAAGACCCGAGGCGGCGAGGCTGAAGGGCCAAGGGGGTGGACAGGTGTACGCACCGCCTGCACCTGACAAGCGGGACAGGTCCGCACGGACCCTGAATATGAACTACATATATACCATACTTACCGAGTAGACGCGTCTTGACTGAAGCACCTAACCAGTCACATAGACATCAGGTGCATATGGTATGACCCACTGCACCATGAAAGACTCGTATAGGACAAGGTCAGTCTGTGATACGATATGTATAAGACGATTAAACAATGTTCATACTCATGACAAGCAATTGTCCTTTTCAAAATGCAACATTAACTAACCCCTGTTTACCCCATTACCCTGTTATCCGATCCCCGATATCCCAATGTTGCCCCTACTGCAATTCCATCCCCATTCCCCTACCCTCATCCCCGTCCATCTTGTCCGACCTGTTTCTCCGCCCGGCGTCTTTCTTTGTTGTACTCGAAAAGATCACATTCGTACTCCCAGGACTACTCCCAGTAATACACCCGTCAAACCAAATAACACGGTCCATCCCGTTCCTGATGAACGGATAGCACTAGATGATGAAGAACCGGAAGATGAACTTGGGGTAGAACTGGATCCTGAACCAGAAGCGGTGGTTGATCCGGTAGGTACGCTACTGGATGCTGAAATGGTGTAAACCCCTCCGGATGGTTGTTGTGCCAAACAGGATTGAGCGGCTGTAGAGGCATCTTGAGCTGTGTTGGGGGCTGGAAGTCAATATCGCCACATACCAGGGGTCCGCAACGCAAGAGCAGACAAGATGAGGATGTCTACCAGTATGAGTATGAGTGAAGACATGATAATTGGGGTGGATATGAGAGTGGGTGCAGATATGAGGATAAATGTAGACAAAAAATAGGTAGAAGAAATCACGGTGACTCACGATGAGGACTCAAAGTCGCATTCCCAGCAAAATCACAACTTGTAGACACCGGATTCGTACCATAATACGCAGACATGGCATAACTCAACTTTATAGCGGGAGAACACATGCTCAAAGATCCATACATCCCACTACTCCCATTTCCCCCTATAGGATCACATGAACCACCGTTTGCGCCTAACAAAGAGCAAGTGTAATCGATCAGGGCGCCGACGATCGTGGGGGAATTCGCACTGGATTGTTTCACCAAACATGCGAAAGCGTTGGCGTTCAGACAATCACATACCGCTTCGTCGGGTGTTGGAGGGAGGGTAGAAGATGCCAGCAGGGTGGAATTTTCAGAGGGACAAGAGATGGTGGTGACGGCTGGAGCGGAAGATTTGGTGATCGAAGTAGGAGGTTTGGTATTGTTGTACTGGGCTGAAAGGCGGGTAAAGTCGTCTGATGTGGTCACGCTATTATGAGCCATCACTTCCAACATAGATTCACCTAATTCGTGCAGAGGACATGGGTCTAGGGAGGGGAAATATGGTTTGAGATAAGCGAAGATAGATGCTCGGCTTGTGAGGACGTCAAAAGAAAGTGCAGAGATAAGAGTAACAGAAATCACTCACCTATTTCCATCAATCGTCACCATCCCATACCCATCCGAAGTGGGGAAATACGAGAATGCCATCCCACCAGAAAACACATCCGAAACGGGTGAAGCAAACAAAGCAGTCACTTCGGTCCATAATCTAGGTGGGTTGAATATACAGCCATATTCGGACATATAAGTGACGACGGGTAATGAAGAAAAGCCAGAGGTGATAGTGTTCCAATTTGAAGACGTGATGGTTTCGTTACCACACCATTCGTAGTTGTTCAGGCCTGAGTCCATCAGCCTCCCTGAAACCCTTTTTTCTTGATGCACCGATATAGAGATGGAAAGTCGTGTCGGTCATATAGGGGTCATGGATATGTGGGAAGGAAGGAGACTCGTAGGGGAGGGGCTGCTAAAGGAGCAGAACAAGACATACCATAAATATCCACAGATATAGAATCATCGCCACATGACATATACTCCGCCAATGTATTCCGGAAATCGGCATCCCCATCCACGGCTGAATATCCAATAAGAACAGATGAGCCGAGTCCTCTGAGGTAGGCTTTGATATCTCTTGCCGCGGCTTTTACGTAGGCTGTGCGTGAGCTCATCTTCATCATCTCCATTCACTCGGACGAAAAGACCTCAAGGTCGACGAAGGCTCTCTCACCCCTTGCGAGCGCCGACAGCTGAGGTTGGGTCGTGGTGGCATCTTCCAGAGTGTGGGAGAGAAGGTGGCACTCTGATTGAGACGCTGCATGGAGAAAGGCGGATCGAGCAAAGGTTCGATGGACGGATAAGTGAAGGAAGTCAACCCACGAGCAGCATTGGTGTTGGACACCAGATTGATAACTTCATTTCCAATGTTGAAAGCCAGTATGTTGTCGTACTTCAAAAAAGCATTGATGGTGGTTGTGTATTCGTTCAGTAGGTTCGTAGACCATGAAGGGGAAGATCTGTCTATACTGCCGTTGAGGGGAAGAGAGACGTCGAGTCTGTCGTCATTAACTGTCCAACAACATATTGTTCATTCATCACAATAGACCGAGTCGTCAGACACACAGCTTCCATGTCGACAAGTGGGATTCAGGGCGCAGATCCGACAAATCCCGACGACCAGTGGGGATGAACCCTACTTCGCAAAGTAGGACGAAAGCGATGGTAGCAGAGGAAGAAAGCAAGAAGAGGCGTGATGAAATCAGGTGTCAAGAAGATGATCTAGGACACAGGACAAAGAACAAAGAAATGATTAACTCACAAAACATAAATACCAGCATCATCAAACATTTTCATACAATCATCATGATTCAAACTGCTATTGACAGAATATACCCGCACTGCGTTGACTCCCAGTTGTTTGAGGTAAGGTAGATCTCTTGTGCAATTTTGAGCGGAAGAAAGTGGATCGATGAATGATGATCTGTTGTGTGAGTTGATGTTGTCTCAGTTGACATTCCCTGCTTCGTAACAACACTCTCGGACCTTGACCCGCGATCGCTTCTGTCTGTCTGGCAAGCAACTTCGAACATCATTTATTCCTCGTCCCCTTCCCTCGCCCAAATGTAAAGGAGAAATATCAAACAGCGCAGTGATGGAGAACTTTCTCGGTCTGCCATGGCCAAAGGTCGACGTCATCCAGTTTCAAACCTTGACATTCGACACACACACAGGGTGGTCTTTGATTTTGAGAAGGTTGACCGGGTTACCTTGATTAGAATGACCAAGATGATACTCACGGTTCTGGAAACCCTCCACTATACATCAGTTTCCTTGCCTTTTACCAAGCGAGGATCACACTCACTTTGCCTCATTAGACGCAGAATCAGTCGCTAAAGTACCTTGAGGTTGATATGCCACTCCCTCTGTGTCAGCACTCAACGTTCATTCATCATGAGCGACTAAGAAATCACCTTGATGAAAAATCTGTTTCCTGATGGATCGAATAGGTATTTACCTTGTCGGGTGATTTGAGGTAAGGCCGAGATAAGAGGGAAAAGAGGGAAGGCCCATTTGAGGAGACGCATAGTGTTCGGAAGGTCTTGTTGGTCGGCTAGTCGGCTAAGTCTTGTGGTCCGTGATCAGTCTCTGTGAAAAGACTGGTTGACTATTTGACCGGCTATTGGACCAGACTACAGAGAGGAAGAGAGACGGGATGGAGGAGAGAGAGGAAGATGGAGAGGGGGGTACACGAGGAAGGGGATGTGGTGAGGAGAAAGAGGAAAGTGAAAGAGGCGATGATGTTTGGCCCCGCATTTCAAGTCCGCACTCTTCCGCAAAGGTCCGAGCGTTGCTCCGGCGTTTGTAACCGGTTGTCAATTGAGTCTGTGCGTCTACAGCTACAGCTACATACTGTATACTGTACATTGTTCAATTATCGTACGAGTACAACTAATATCATTCTACTTTAGAACTTATACGAAGTGATAGTAAGACCTGCAAGATGTGGTGGTACAAGTTTATATGGCCCCATGCAGCGATATCGTTTAATCAGGTCTTCTGAGCTTGGGCGACATTCCCCACGCGGCTTTGACAAAATCATCAACGTCTTGAAACAACTCTTCAGGTCTCTCGAGAGCAGCAAAGTGACCTCCCTGCTAGTCAGTTCCGGAATACTTTCATCATCACTGATAGGCTACCTGACTTGTCACGGATAAGTAGTTTCCGGCTGGTTTGATCGGAGGAAAGAGGGAGGAGATGAGAGGGACAAAGTGATGAAAAGACGAGACTTACCCCGTCGTGTTCCCGAGACCACACCAGGTTTGAGATCTGAGCCACCCATTCTTTGGGCGTATCACACATTTCACCTCCAAACTTCGAGTATCCAGTCGGTTTAGATATCCAAGCTTCGTCCTTTTCGGCAGGAGGACGATGTATGCCTTGCGTCTGCAGGAGGTCAATTATAGGTTGATATTCCGTACGAAAAGACAGAAATCATGTTGACTTACCCAACGGTAAGGATAGATACTGGAAGGATAAGTGTTTGTGAACCAATAGAGCGATACGAAAGTGAGCGTCGTCTCTAGTCCAGGCCACTTATCACCCCATTCTAGGTTTTTCTCGCCTATCCTATTTGTGAGCATTCGAACCTCTGCCGGTGGAGGTATCAGAGTCAACCAATACGAGACATCAGCTCCTAAGGCGTATGTGGGACAAGAAAACGACAATGAGGTGACATCAGGAGAGGATATCGAGGAAAGGTGAATGGATAGGGAAACGAAAACATACCAAGCTAGAAGAGCAAGAGGAGAGGTGGACAAGACTAAACCTATAGTCGAAGGTCTTGTTCCTTGTTCCAATGCATAACCAAACGGTTGCATGAATGTCGCCGCATCATCAAAATGAGGTCCTCCTCTAATCATGATCCTCTCGCGTTCGATAGTCCCCTTAGGAGGTAGATAGGGATTTTTGTAATTGAGATGGACGGCTGATGGTGAACTCATGTCCCCGAAACGTTCTACGCCTACCTATAGGAAAAGGGGCGCGTCTGGAAGAAGAAAACATGCTGCAGTCACTGAGAGGTCAAGGAAGACTTACCCACACAACTGTCGTATTCCCTTCCAAGCTCTGAAGAGATAGCAGAACCTATATCTCCACCTTGAGCTACATATCTATCGTACCCTAAACCACGCATCAGTCCATTGAAAAGATAAGCGATATCAGGGACTCCAAAATCGGACTCTAAGTGAGGAGCATCGGAAAAAGTATAGCCTGGCAGAGAGGGGATAATAATGTTGTATCTATTCTCATGAGCATCTCTTCCTCGTTCTTTCACTCTCTGTCAGTGATATGCCTATTTCCGATAATGCCAGCCTTGTGCATGAGACACTCCTGCTGATAGCATGCAAACTATCTCCGAATGGGACTCGTAAGCGGGCAAGAGGACTTGAGAACTCACGGTAAGTCCCCGGGAGAGTAACGCTTGATGAGCATTTCACACATCGGTAGAAATTCCAGAAAACATCCCGGCCAGCCATGACTGAAAAGTATGGGGATAGAATCTTTCTTGGAAGAGAAAAGAGCCATAAAGTGTATTCTATATTCGTGTCCATCTCGACCAACGAGGAGAGTAGTGAATTGAGGTATCGAGTTGATGCGTTGTTCTTGTTTGCGCCTGACTGTCAACACTACTTGTTGTTCTTATCTCCTCTCTCTGTTAATCCCCTTGAGCTTGCTCTCTCAAGTATTCTGCCTCCTTGCCCCAGCATTGTAAACCACTCGAAAACCAGTACACATGACAGGAAACCTCATCAGCACCTATTCGTAGACACACGGCGAGCGAGAAGAATGGAAGTGAGTAAGAAGGAGGGAATAACCCACCAGTCAAATTCCAACCATTGATCTCGAGCATGCATCAACCAGTCCCTCGTTATACCGAAGTTCTCTTCCGTCTGAGTATTCTCATACGTTTTCTTAGCTATCCGTCCCGCTCTCACCAGAGATATTAGATCGTCAATGTCTTCTTGTGGGATGGAGACTTTGAAGGGCTCAAGACGTAGCTTGGCCTGAGAAGAGGGAGTTGAGAAATCCAAGAAATCCATTTACTAAGATACTAGAGATTCTAGGATACACAGACTGTCTTGATAGCAGGAGGAAGGAATACCATTCCCTAAGTAAGTAGTTGTCGATGGTGTGAATGAGGAAGCCAACTTCGCGCACGACATCAAATCTCTTCACGCACGACATCCACGTGACTGTCACGTGTTTACGGTTAGGCATGCATCATCGTGTTGTTAGGCGTGTGTACCACGTGGCCGCACACGCCATGATTCAACTCTCCTCATACTTTCAACTCACATCATTCAACATCATTCAATATCACCACTCTCTCTAGCCCACAGGAATAAAGCTACCTTCTCAAAACCTCCACCATTGTTCTCAGCGTACTGGATTACCCCTTTCTACTACTTATCCGATCTGATTCACATTGTGATAATCACCATTTCGTATGTACCTCCTTCTACACTTCTTCCACTAAAAACTGATCTTCTTAGTTCTTTATCCCTTCTAATATCATGTCTTCCTCTCAACCTATTGACCTCTGCGACTCTTCCGGTGATGAATGGTCACCTCCACCTCTCCCACCATCTCTCCCACCACTCATAAAGGAAGAAACCCCGTCCACCCCGTCCGAGATCATCATACCAGAGACTCAGCAAGATAATACATCATCTCCCTCTTCCCCTGGTTTATCAACACCATTACGCGACATATACTCAGTTTCTCCCTCCGCCGATACTGCAGACGACTTTTTTGCCCCTCCCACACGTCTGTCACGAACTACGTCGCGACACCTCGATTACTCCACCAACAATGACCCTCCTTTGGCCATCAAAACCCCATCACGCCTTAACCTCTTTACTCTACACGTAACTCAGGACTTCTGACACCGAGTACGGCGAAGTTAGACGGAGTTAGGCTAAGTAGGAACAATGGGAGCAGAAGTACGGCGAAGTTAGACGGAGTTAGGCTAAGTAGGAACAATGGGAGCAGAAGTACGGCGAAGTTAGACGGAGTTAGGCTAAGTAGGGACAATGGGAGCAGAAGTACGGCGAAGTTAGACGGAGTTAGGCTAAGTAGGGACAATGGGAGCAGAAGTGCGGCGATGTTAGGCGGAGTTAGTCGAAGGAGGAAGAGGATGGCCGAGGGCTCGGGGAAGTTGGACGAAGTGCGTTGAAGTACGTCAAAGCGCGAGAGGGTTGGATGAACGTCTAGGAGGAGTAGATAATATTAGCTGAGAAGATCGCTGAAGTTCTTCAGCGATCCTTGATTGTTGTCAGTAGTGAAAGACATAGAGATAGCTATATACAATCGAGATACATCGCCATCAGTAGAACAAAACCTCAGTTAGAGTAACTACGCCGAAGTACGCCGTAGTTACACTCCTTTCGACGTCTGCGCCCTCCTGGTTGGGTGAGACATCGACTCAGAGCGTGAAGTTAGCCGAGGTTCGTCGACCGTCGGTCTATTAAGAAATAGTTGTTCGACGCCCGTGACAACGTCTTTCAGGAGACAACAGCGAAGGAAACCCCGATTTTGACACCAATATTGAAAACATTGAAGAAGATGAATTTGGGCCACATACTCGTGTCCCCAATCTTCATCATGCTCCCATAACTCTTCCCCCTCAGACATCAATCAATTCTGCTCGTGATAAACTTCATATCATAGTCAGAAACAAAGGATTTGCTCTGGTAACCGACTCAAGTAATCAAAATCGACAACACATGACAATGAACTGCGTATTCGGTGGTAAATATCACTCTGGTCGCTCTGCTAGATTTGAAAAGGTACGAACCCGTCAGCCTCATACCCAGCGATTAGGCTGTCCATTTCAAATCAAACTCTCCAGAGTTACTGAGAAAGACGCCCTGGCAGATGGATTTCGACCAATACTGTTGGAGACAGTATGTAATGAACACAACCACCCTCCTGTAAAAAGTTTACTCATATCACACCTTCGAAAAAACTCGCGAACCCCGCAAATTACTTCCCTTTTACAGGAATACATTGATAAAGGCTTTACTGTCCACCAAATCCTGGATCTTCTCGAGAAACACCCCGATAAACCTCTCCTGACCCCTGTCGATGTGTCAAACTTCAAGTGGAGGTACGAAAAGAACCGAATGAGTGGACGAACAGCAACCGAGAGCCTTTTTATTCATCTTGAACATGAAAAACGACTCTTCAAAGGCTTGGTAAATGCGAAGAATGAAGCTCTTGGACTCATTTACACGACTCATAAAGCAAGAGCACTCGTTCATCTTTATCCCACTGTTCTTATGATGGACTGCACTTATAACACCAACCGATACCGTCTTCCAATGTTACACATCACAGGAATGACAGCAACGAACCTCACATTTACTGCGGCCATTGCTTTTATCAATCGCGAGACTACAGATTGGTATGGGGTGGCGATAAAGAGTTTTCTCGACTTGATTGGTCCCTTAAAACATCGAATTCAAGTGGTGATAACAGATCGCGAGGTAGCCTTAGCCAACGCTCTCAAAAAGTACCTACCGGCAGCGAAGCAGCAGTACTGCACATGGCATCTGCGAGAGAATATCAAACACGCCTGTGACAAAAACCACTGCTTTACTAGCGAAGAAGATCCCATACTAGAAAGACAGAGGTTTGGGGACATGTGGATGCGAGAAGTGGTGGAGGCCCATGACGATTTCAAGCTAGAACAGGGGATGGATAAGATAAGAGAGCGATTTTCGAAAGCAGAGCATTCTCCAGCAATTCGGTACATTGAAAACTTGCTTTCTTCGAAGGAGAAGTGGGCCTGGGCCTACACGAACCAAAATCGTAATCTCAAGCAACATGCGACCTCAAGAAATGAGGGTGAACATCGTTCCTTCAAAGATTTCTTGAAGAGTCATACAGGGACGCTATGGCAAGTCATTCCTCAGCTGGATCGTTTCCTGGACAGACAATGGGACAGTATCACATTGAAGAATGGTCAGCAAACAGTACGGTCAGCCTTGGTGGATCGAATACTCAGTGTTATCAACCGAGATGTCTCTAAATTCGCTACGAACTTCCTCCAGGAGCAAATTCTCATTGCCAATAAACTACTAAGTCAGCCTGATCGAATACACAACTGTTCAGGACGATTTTTAGCTTCAATGGGTCTCCCCTGTGCTCATATTATCGTGAACATCATGAGAAATGATGGGGTACTCACTATCAATCAAATACATCACCATTGGCGATTGCTCCCTCACGGCGGGTTCGAAAAATTTCTCGAAGAGACCAATAACAGAGTACAACCCACTGCATTTTGGGCCATTGGGGTTCATCGACTTGAAGACGAATTCGAGGTAGTCAACGGTTCCCGCGATTTCGTACTTGATCCTCCTGTCAATCTTGGTCTCCGTGCGAGAATGGCTATTAGGGCCTCTGCTACCCAAGCTGCTGCTTCGCAGGCCTCTCAAGGAGTGACAGTGGTTCGAGCTACACCAATGTATTCGAAAAACACTACTCTCAGACCTCCTCCTTCACTTCCTCCCCCCTCACAGAATTCAGGTTCACAGGTCTCTAAATCGTCAGGTAATCGCTCTTTTCAAGCCAGTACTGGTCGAATTCTATCACAAAGCGAACAATCTGCTCCTCCACGTCTTCCCCCTCCTAAATGTGACCTCTGTACTAAGCGACACGCAATTACCTACATGTGTGCAGCGAAAAAAGCTGTGGCCGCGAGAGAACAAGAGTTATTGGCTCGATTTCAAGCTGAGGGACAAGAAAATGCAGAAAGGATGGTGGTGAGGCCTCCTGTGATGACACAGAGGCCTGCAGAGATGGTGAGGACAGCCTCAGAGACAATGGGGACAGGCCTGCAGGTACGCACTTCATTGAAATCTGTCCTACCACTTGTCCTGGTCCACAGGTGAAAGTTCCCGGCTGATTTATGCAGATAATACCTCAATATCATCATTATCCCTTCCACCCTTCTCCCCAGTTGCTCCCAGGGGTCCCTGGGCCATCTAATTGGTACCAGAGGCCACCTACGTACCCTCCTGTGTCGAATTATTCGAATTTTCAACCTACCTTTTATCCACCGGTTTATCCACCACCGTATGTTCAGGAAGGACTCGGAAATGGCTCAAACTTCGCAGAAAGGATGGTTCTAGACGCCAGGCACGGTGGTATGAGACAGGAATTTCCCCCTCGCGAGTATAGGCCAGGACAACAGGATTTCACTGGTGGACAGAGGGGTTGAAGGAGAGATCATGTATCTCAGTGAGTTTTTAACTTTTCAATCTGAACTCTTCACTGACAGATAGAGGAGGATGTGCTTTACATGTCTATAAAAAAGAGTACTTCATTCTATGCATAATTCATCAATTTAAAAAAAAAACGGTTTGACCTACTTTCACTCGGGGACAGAGAGGTTGGAAGGGAGGTCCGTGCAGCCACGTGGTACACACGCCTAACAACACGATGATGCATGCCTAACCGTAAACACGTGACAGTCACGTGGATGTCGTGCGTGAAGAGATTTGATGTCGTGCGCGAAGTTGGCTTCGTGAATGAGGTTGACGTGTACCGGAGCCCCACAGAGTATGATCGAAAGGAATGTGGCGCATTTTTCAATATGGCAAAATGCGGGAAAAGGCGATCCGAGCGTCACTTACCCCACGGGCCAAGGGCCAAGGGAGTGGTAACAAGATGCACTCCCCCCCCCCCCCCTCCCCTTCTTCTTGCCTGTGTTGGAAAGAAAACAAACTCTCCAGTTTCAGTTCCTCTTCTCATCTTACAGAGGATTCTTGGACGTGAGAAAAGTCTAATTTTAACGTCCGATCTTCACCCTCCTGTTCTCACGTTTTCTTCCGAAAGTCTAGCCATCTATCTTCACATCTCACCTCTTATCTCGACTTTCTGCATGCCTGAGATAAATCATCACCCCATCGATCATCGACTCCCAGATTTCTACTAGTTTATAACATAGAGAACTCCAGAGCTAGGGCGACAAGGTTGTGCCATGGACAATCTCATAAACAATGATTTCTCGATTGACTTCTCTATCAAAACTGCCATTGGGAGAGTAGGGATCGCTGGTCAAACTCTTCCATTCCCCCATCTTCAGACAATCGATAGTGTGAGACAATTTGGAGATCTAATGGAGACACTGTTTGAGGGTGGAGTGGAGCTTAGAGATTGTATCCAAGACTATAAAACTCTGATCAACCAGGATGAGCCTGAGGAAGAAATCAAGACTTTTCTTCGGAAGTTAGAAGCTGCTATGAATCTGATCATCTCCTTGTGTACTATATTAAGGAGTACATATGTAGGCGTCTCTAGAAGTTTCATTGAGACTTTAGCAAATTCAACTCAGTCAAATCCCAACCACACCAATGATCAAGATGAAGCTCAACAAGTTCACACTGAACAAACAGTTGAACCCGATTTGGCGGCATGGACCGTAAGGCGATGGAATCAAGTAGAAGCGAGTGTGAACAGCTTGGCCCAGATGATGGTTGAGGTAAGATATTGGTGAAAAGGGCAGGTACTATCTCTGTTGAGCCTCTGTGAGATGTATTGTAGCTTTGAGAATAGATAGGTGCATGCAGTCTATGTATGATATCATAATGTGGGATTTAAAAACGCTGAAACTCATGTATGCCTTTCTCATATATAGTACTTCTACCCGGCTGATGCTTGAAAGAGACGTCTACAAACAGCAGTTGATCTCTCCTTGGGACCTGAGTAACCTCGGCTCTTGCCCAGAGATGCAGCCCGTCTCACAGGACACTTGGGTGGAAGAAACACATTTCCATAAGCTTGGATCTGCAATTGGCCGGACAAAGTCACATAAGGAAGATATTGGGTTCTGACATAATTTGTTTCAGCTCTGGCCATCAAGCAAGTGACCCGCAATGTTTTGGAAACTCTACTCCGCCCAAGATGTCGAAAAAGGCCTACCTCTGTGAGTAGGAAGCAATCGTGATCCATCAAGTAAGTTCCTGTCAGGACCAGACGTTGAAATAGTCTGCGTCTATGAGCTATGGATATAGGGCCTCGCAGGGAACAAACCTAGTGATGTAGTTTATAGTCTAGTGATGTAGTAGATCGAAGAGACTATAGTCGATGAGATCAAGGGGCAAAAGATTTGCTAAGTGACGAGAAAATACATTCGACAAGACATCTACGAAAAAGGGGTGTTTCTATATACTAAAAGGGAGCGGAGTGATACCGAAATCTATGGAGTAAATGTGGAAAGCGACGAGAGGTGTAAGAGCGAAGGAAGACGGAGATAGATGAGGGAGACGGAGATGAAGGAAAAGTATAGCATGGTAAAGAAGTAACGATTAGGTAGGACAGGAGAACGGAGGACGCCGTAGCGGGATTAGAGAGACGGGGACGGGAACGGATAGATGGAGTACGGGAACGGGTAGGTGGAGTACGACTTCTGCGTACGACTCTTGAGGAACCCGTCTATAGGTACCCGTGATCCTGACAGTTCCGGCCGATAACTACCTTTATCACGAGTTCGGTTGTCCGGTCATCGATCTTCCCACGTCGATCTGGATTATCAACCTCCGCAAAGTCTGCTCGACCCTTCTACCAGAAGCAGGAAACCACTTTCAATTCCTACTATACCAACTCGATCTAATCCATATGACCAGCATAGACCTTTCTGTCAGTTCGGCTCTCGGACGAGCTTTCTACGCCGAGAGAAATTTTGAGCCGTTCCCCCATTCAAAAACCTACGAAAGTGTCCAACTATTTGCTGAACTGATAGAGACACTGGTGGACGGTGTTGAGGATTGTTTGTGGGAGATTAGTGAATATGTGAAAAGCGGAGGCTATGCGAATAAATATGATGATCCTGAAGCTTATGAGATTGACAGCAAATTGAGATACGCTCTTAGAATACTAGCCAGACTTTACTGTACCATAGTGAACACGTATACTTCAAGTTTCGAACGATATGTGAATTCTTTGGCCATGGAAACGAAGTCTCGGGAAGGGAGATATACTGTCATGACCACGTGCGTCGAAGTTGCTAGTTCGGGTAATATCCAGTTACCCGCCACCGATAAACACTACCAGCCACCCTTATCTACATTACACTCTCATTCCATGTACATAAGGTAGTGCATAGCTTAGAACAACTTCGACGAATGTATCTTGTCTGTCTCAACATACAAGTTCTCTTATACATTTGCCAAAACTTATTATTCACTCCTCGAACTATTTGCTTCGATCCTCGTATCCTCTTACAACTAGTTCAAGTCCCTACAAGTAGCTCATCACCCTCGACGCAGATCCTTCGACCTTCGGTCTGGTCTTGACATAAGATACATTCGTCTAGCTTGTACCGACTTCTACGAGGTTGCTCTTCTAGTCCCGAACTGTAATCGCCCGACAATCTGAAAACAATGTCGAGCGTTCCCAATACTCCAAGTGGTCGGGTTACAAGGTTACACCCTGAGGGTAGTGTAGCCCCTACCACTCAAGGGGGGCAACAACCAGCCACCCCAGCGGTGGAAAACCCTGCCACCACCTCTACAAGTACCAATGCAATCCTTCAGGCTTTAGCTGGTCTAAACCAAAGGTTCGAGGAACAAAATCAGGAGATGGCTCGTCTACGTATACAGGTGCAGTCTCTCCAATCTGCTTCTCACGATGGAGGTTCAAATGAACCTCCCTCCCCAACCAGGACGGCCATCCCACCGCCTGGTTTCCGTCGCGAACTCCCCGCACATTTAGAGGGTCAATCCCTAGCTAATGCAAACGCGTTAGGCGTTCGAACCGGGGGGATCGATCGTCACTCCCAGTCCCCTGCCCCCGGCTCGGGATTTACTCTTCCCAAGTTACCCATGGCCAACCTGGAAAAGTTCAAGGGAGATCGAGGTAAACTTCCAGCTTTCATATCCCGTGCTAGAATGATGCTAGAGATGGCAGGCAACAATATGCTTCCAGAAGCACAGGTGCTCTGGATCGCCTCTCACTTGATAGAGGACGCCGGGGCATGGTGGGACGGTTATTTTTCAACACCGTCCGTCGAACGCCCGGGTTGGACCCGGGAACCAGAGGCTTTCTTCGCCGAACTCAAAAGAATTTACGGCGACCCAGATCGTCACCGTTATGCGGTTAACCAACTACGATCCATCAAGCAAGGTAAGGGCTCGGTCGCCACCTACTGGTCAAAGTTCACTGCCATTATTACTGAAGTACAGTGGGATGACAGGGCCAAGAAAGACACGTTCGAAACCGGCCTTTCGGCCGAGATTCGAATTGCTATTGCAAACCGCGAGAATCAGCCGACTTCCCTTAGGGAGTTAGTGGACGCGGCAATCACAATTGATCGTCATTATTCCGGTATCCGCCAATCTATGGGTGGGTCAGACGATAAGTCGGGCTCCAACCCCAAGGACAACAACACCAGTCAACGTTCGAACTTCGAACGAAAGGGTTCGAACATCGACGGTAACAACAAACCTCCCTCTAAGACTGACCGCACAGGTAAAACAAAGTCTAGAGGACCTATTTCCGATGAGGAAAAGGAACGCCGAAGAAAAGAAAATCTTTGTATGTACTGTGGGGACCCGGGTCACACCGTACTGGTGTGCCCCAAGTCGAAGCAGTCGGGCCAGAGACCACCGTTCAAAAGCGATTCCCGCCCTATCAAGGTCAGAGCTATGACAGTTGAAGACGAAGAGATGATCTTCGAACTCAACGATTCGGGCTCGGACTCGTCTTCCCAGCCGGGAAACGAGTAGACCCACCTCCGAGCGACGAGCCCGGAGAGCCAGTGGGAACTTCTCGTCACATTTCATTTCTGGCTTTTAGAGTGTCTGATGATGTCCGTTTACAAACAGTTAAAACTACAAACACCAAAAAAAATATTAAAAATCAAATACCGTCGTCAAACCCCTCGCTTCGAGGGGCGGATTCTCCTTCCAGCCTGCAGATTACTATACCCATCGCTATAATTCATAATAACCAGTCGATAATGACCCGAGCACTAGTGGATACTGGAGCCCAGGCCGACCTTGTCGACCAAACGTTCCTTGGAAAGCATGGTTTCCCTCTCCTTGCCAATGTCACGGCTGTCGAACAACTATCTTCTAGTAGACCGACGGTCGACGAACCTCGGCTAACTTGACGCTTCTAAGTCGATGTCTCACCCAACCAGGAGGGCGCAGACGTCGAAAGGAGTGTAACTACGGCGTACTTCGGCGTAGTTACTCTAACTGAGGTTTTATTCTACTGATGGCGATGTATCTCGATTGTATATAGCTATCTCTATGTCTTTCACTACTGACAACAATCAAGGATCGCTGAAGAACTTCAGCGATCTTCTCAGCTAATATTATCTACTCCTCCTAGACGTTCATCCAACCCTCTCGCGCTTTGACGTACTTCAACGCACTTCGTCCAACTTCCCCGAGCCCTCGGCCATCCTCTTCCTCCTTCGACTAACTCCGCCTAACATCGCCGCACTTCTGCTCCCATTGTCCCTACTTAGCCTAACTCCGCCTAACATCGCCGCACTTCTGCTCCCATTGTCCCTACTTAGCCTAACTCCGCCTAACATCGCCGCACTTCTGCTCCCATTGTCACTACTTAGCCTAACCCCGTCTAACTTCGCCGTACTTCTGCTCCCATTGTCCCTACTTAGCCTAACTCCGTCTAACTTCGCCGTACTTGGTGTCAGAAGTCCTGAGTTACGTGTAGAGTAAAGAGGTTAAGGCGTGATGGGGTTTTGATGGCCAAAGGAGGGTCATTGTTGGTGGAGTAATCGAGGTGTCACGACGTAGTTCGTGACAGTCGCCCCCTTCTTTAGCCGCGAACGTCCTCGTGAGCGATTACACCTCTGTCGTGGCAAGAGAACTTAGCAGCGTAGTACCCCATTCTCTCCCTCCCCATGACCATCCTCCACTCTTCTGCTCTTTGCGCCGCACTTCGTAGTTGGGCCTCCTTTCACTCCAGAACCCGACAATGAGACTCCCCTAACTTCGTCGAGGTTTGCCGTAAGAAGCCCTGTGTCTTTTGTAGGTGAGACACGCTTCCTGAATGGCAGCCGAACAACACCGTTGTTTGTCGAAGTAACCCTCGCTTATATTGAGATGAGACACTATAGCGTGGGAATTTTGATCGTCCCTGCGATGCCTTTTGTTGATGAAACGCGAAGTTTGCTGCATGTTGACGACGAGGGGTTAGGTTTGATTATACTAAATACTGAGCAGTTCGTCGAGCTTCTCTCTTTTTCCCATCTGCTTTCAAAACTTTCTATCTCTCTTACCTAGAAAACAGATTTGTTACCTTGAATCATCGCCTCGAGTTTTATTCTCATTTAAATATCTTAACGTCATGGCCCCTTCTACTCCTACACCCAGCCCTTTCGCCGCCATGAGGAACTTTGGTGGTATGGTGTCATCTGCTCGTGAGTTTTCATCGATACTCACCCTACCTCGCCGAACTTGGCTGATGTTCAGTTTCTTTCGGCGACAGATCTCGCCAAGTCTCCTCCCTCGGCCTCGGCACTCTCTCTCTGGGGGAGCCGTCTGGCGCTGCCCCGCCCCCTCGCTCCGCCTCTCCCTCCGCTGGTTCTCCCGTCCCCGTAACGGGTTCTCCTGGAGGGCCTCCTCCTGCCGCCACTCCTCGCCGTAGGACGCCCGCCTTTCGTCCTGGTGAGTCTCCGTCCTCCTCCGACCAGGACTCGCTCAGTGGGGGCTCGGAGTCGGGTGATCGACCCGACACCGAAGAAAGTGAGGATGATGATGATGCGGAGGGTAGGATTGATAGTGAGGGTGAAAGCGAGTTAGAAGAATACCCGGATGATGATGTGGAGGTGATTAGTGTAGAGGACAACAACGTAGATAGTCCTGAGCGTGAGTTCTTCGTCCAACCCCTCACACCTTCGCCGAACTTGGCCTTGTTTATCTGTTCTTTAGCTCTCCAAGACATTGCTAACTCGCAGCCGGTCCTGCCCCTCCCCCTGCTCAAATTGTGGGCCAGAAACGACGCCGTTCCCTCTCTTCTTCTTCTTCTTCCTCTTCTTCTTCTTCCTCTTCTTCTTCCTCTTCCGGGGTTCTCCCCCCCCCCAACGCCATCGCCGCTGCCGCCGCTGCTGCCGCCGTCCCCGTCGCTGCTCCCCCCCCTTCTCCCAGAGGGGAGCCTTCGCCCAAACGGGTGAAGAGATCACTGCGGGAAGAAGAGTACTTGTGGGAGAAGATGAAGTCCGAGCCTGGTCGTTGGATCGCGGTTGGTGTTGACGAAGCGTGTGATCGTTGCCGGTGAGTCCACCTATTCGTTCTACGCCGAAGTTACTCCTGCTAATTAGTAGACGTGAGATTATCACGTATAATCGTCCAAACTGGCCCTGCCTCAAGGCAGTCAGGCCACACAACAAGGCCCTCCGTTGTGCTTCATGCACGTCTGGCCCCTGCTCCTTCTGTCCCGTTTCCTCTGCCCGGGACATCCCGCCCCGTCCCTCCGACTCTTCGCCCTTCCCCCCTCCTCAGACTCCAGCGTCTGTCCCCCGTTCGCGGGTACCTCCTTCGTCTCTCCGGTCGGTTCGCCGTACTTCGCCGGACCTCCGCCCGTCGCCTCCGTCGCCGTCGCCCTTCGCTCCTGTGGCCGGCCCATCACGTCTCCCGGCTGTTCCTCCTTCGTCTTCTCGCCGTCCTTCGGCCTCTGCTCCTTCGGCCTCCCGTCCTTCGGCCTCTCGTCCTTCGGCGCCACGTCCGTCCTCTCCAGTGGTAGCTTCTCCTCCGGCTCACAGTACCCGAAGTCGGCGTCCTTCTGTTCCTCCGGCCACTTCGGCGGCCCCTCCCGTCACCCCTCCCTCTGCTTCCCAGAAGACACCGAAGTCTTCTTTAAAGAAATCAAAAGGGAAATCTAAAGAGAAGGAGGTTGCCTTCAATGATGGTGATGTGGAAAATGAAGATACTCAGCGTGCTGGTCCCTCTGCTCCCCGGTTGTCCCTCGTCCACCCTCGTATCTCCCTGGACGTCCGTATTCCTGAGGACGAAAAGGAATTCGCCACTTATCGTTCTCTCGTCCTCGGTCTCACTACTCAGCTTGAGGCCGCCCGAAATGATACATCTCTCCTGCTTGACTTCTCTTCTCGTCAAGCTAACGCTTTAAACAATCTTACTGCGGCGTTAGTAGATGTAGTCAACACTGGGGCTCTGGACGACGAAGCAAGGACAAGGTTAGCGGACGTCTCTCGCCGAAGCCTTACTGAGATAGCCGATGTTCGCCGAAGACTGTTCGACACCCCCTTCCTAGTCACTCCTATGGCGTATGAGCCACCACCGTCCCTTGACTGGTTAGGTCGCCGTAGTAATTCTCGTGTCCCAGCTTCCGCCCAGACTGCTCTCGACCTCCTCAGTCTTCCCTTCGAGTGTCTACGGACCATACGTTCTCTGTGGAGGACCCCGAGCATGCAAGCTGCTCGAGATGTCCAGGACTTCGGTGACTTCTTTGGGGCTATGAATCGGGCATGGAATGCTTCTCTCTCTACTGCGTTCCCGTCTGAGACTCTCGATCTACCTTCGGTCATCGGTAGCCTCCACACCAATCCCGCGGGACCGAGTAGATCGAAGGAGAAAGGAAAAGGAAAAGGTAAGGGTAAGAGTAAGGACAAGTGAGCGGTACGTAGCTGTAATCCTATGTTGTATGCAGTACGTTCTATCTCCTAGCCCTTCGCAGTCGCCCTTCCTTCGGCTTAGTAGGGTGAAGTTCGTGGAACTTCGCCAATATGTCATCAGCTCCATCGACGTTCTCCACTGGTTCCCATGATACTGAATCGTCTGTTCCTTCGTAACCTAACCACTCCACCAAGTACTCTAACTTTCCTGACCTCTTATTTACTCTAGAGTCCACAATATCCTTTACCTCCCAAGACTCTCCCACATTGTCTACTTCTACTGGCCCAGGTGGCTCAGCTTGCTGACCAGGAAATATTGGAGGGTGATAAGGACGGAGCAAGGAGACATGGAATACATCATGGATACCTGCCATCGTTCCTGGTAATTCCAATTTACAAGCATGAGAACCTACCTGCCGTACTACCTTGTACGGCCCACTTTGCTTAACATCTAACTTCTTCATTGGTCTCTTCGTCTTAATATTCTCTAACGACAGCATCACTAGGTCTCCTTCCGCGAAGTTCGGCGTAGTCCGGTGTTTCCTATTGTATCCTTCGGCGTACTTCTCATTAGCTTTCTCAATTCCTTCGATACAATCTTTGTGTATTTCAGTCAAGTCTTTTACCACCACCGTAGCAGCGGGCACTTCGACCTCGCTAGCCTTTATCTCTTCAGCCCAACGAGGGTGATATCCATAGTTCGCATAGAATGGGGTTTTGTTTATCGCAGAGTGCTGGGTGTTGTTGTAAGCAAAGCTAGCTCGAGCGAGTAGCTTTGACCAGTCGTTCTGCTGATAGGAGGTGAAGATTCGAAGATACAGTTCCAAAGACTGGTTGGTTCGTTCGGTCTGTCCGTCAGTCTGTGGATGATATGCAGTAGAGAGATGTAGTCTTATTCCGAGACTATCGGTCAAATTCTTCCAGAACTTGGAGGTAAACTTCGATCCCCTGTCCGATACTATATTCTCTGGCAACCCATGCTGGGCCACCACATAGTCCAATATCAACTCTGATAGGCCGGCTGCGGTTAACTTCGTCGTAGTCGGGATAAAAATGGCCCATTTGGTCAACCGATCCACCACTACCAGGATGGAATTATATCCATGGGAATTTGGCAGCTCCTCGATAAAATCCATCGAGATGCTAGACCAAGGTTTCGTAGCTACCTCCAGTGGTTTAAGCTCCCCATGAGGTTTCTGCCTGTTAGTCTTCGCTCTCTGACATACCGCGCATCCAGCAACATAATCTTCGACATCCTTCCTTACTCCAACCCAGACATAATCCCTCAGGACTAGTTCAAGGGTCTTTGCCGAACCTGGATGACCGGCCAAGGCTGAGTCATGTCGCATCTTCATGATCTTCAGCCGAGCATCGGCGTAGTTCGGCACATAAATGCGATCGTCGAATGTGAGGAAACCTCTTGAGTTCCACCCCCCACGAAGGATTAGAGGAGACCGCGAACTACGGCGTAGTTCGGTGATTGATCCTGGTTCCTGCACGTTATCGTT